AGTGGGAACAGTAGCAGAAGCAGTACCAGTGATGCAGACAGGCGTGTAACTACTGACGTGAAAACTTTTGCCAAAGCAAGCTCGATATGAATACCATGCTAAACTTTGCTGGAATAGTTCTTCAACTATCGCTCTAGCAGTAATTCTTATGTCATGCAGATGTCCATGCAGGCAGAAGCCCTCGAACCATGCGAAAGCTGTTCCGATAGTTTCATGCAGGAACAGTGCGCCAGAAGGAGGAAGCAGTGTCAACTTCGGTTGTATGTCGAGATATTAGGTAGCACTGATGATCACGACTGAAGCGATAGTGTTGGAGACCAGTGACTTGATTCCAGGCAGCAAGACACTCTGCAGGCTGTTGACAACCTCTGGCTTGTACAAAGTGAGAAGACGATGAACTGCATGCTGGTCTTCGAGGGCACCCACTCTGTGCAGGAGTTTGAAGTCAATCTTCGACCCAAGATGGAGACGTACTGCGGGTTTGAAGACGTTCATGGCGGCTATGCTGACAAGCTCTTCTGGCTGATGAAGCACAGCATGCCGAAGCTGAGGCCAAAGCTGGGGAAGTGCAAAAGCGTGGCATGCACCGGGCATTCGCTTGGTGGATCGCTTTGTGAGGTCTTTGCAGCTTGTGCAAATTCAGGCAGGAAGGGCAACCTACATTTCGACTTGCAAGACTGGACCACAACCGATACCAAACTGATGCCCATTGTCCGCCAGAAACCTCTGTCAAGAGACAACCACTAAGCGTGCTGACCGCCGCCTTTTTGAAGCGACCCACAGCCTCATGCCAAAATATTGCGGGAAAGGCGCAGAATGCTCTCGTAACGCAATCGTGTCGCTTATTACCGAATCGTTCCTTGTTACCAGATTGAAATTGTTTTTCTCTGCACCGATGCTCGTGCTTTTGCCGCCGCTGGGCTCGCAAGCTACAGAGCTAGGAACGCAGAGTGTCTATGTCACATGTGCCAGCATGCGAGCAAGCCTTCAGCCCTCAAACCTGCAGCTGGCCAGCAATAGATAGGCACTCCTCCGCAGTACGTCGGAGAATGGGCCCGATCCTCAAGGTGTGTGTGCAAGAAATAGATGCACATTTGTACATGCAAGTGCGTATAGAAAACAAAAACAGATATTTTATAAACATCGTTACACAACATAGAATCAAATCCCGTCATATCATATACTGTCATGCAACATATTCTACTACTAGTGCAATATAACCCGATATACGACAGCAAAGGCATAGTCAAATATAGTTTAGCTTATGACAATATAAATAAGACATGCGGTCGCCCCCTGGTCCCCAAAGGGGTAGAGCTCCTTGCCCCCTTCCCATATTGGTGAATCGATTTGGGTTTGGGTTTACTATCCCAACATAGACTGGCTGTGACCTCCATTCCTCCCTGCCCTTGTGGGCGTGGGTCGCGTGGATTGGGCTTTGTTCCGATCGGTCTGTAGGTCACTGGAAATGGATTTTTGTTAAATTCACGAGAATGAGACCTTGAACAACCTATCTCTGTGAGTGTTGGCGTTACATGAACAAGATACAGAAACGACCACACCCGCGAGGATCGCACGCTTGTAAGCTACTCCTGCCCTTAACTGTCTGGATTTTTTGAGATGTCACGGCGACATCGACCCCACAAAACGAATAGTTACCTGAATTTCCCCAATCAACCTCACCCCTGTAATCAGCTGTCGGCATTTCATTGAAGAATGCCTACGCCCAAAATCGAAGATGTCACGCAAATAGCTTTCGCCTAGCCTCTGCTATTTTTGTAAGGTCGAACACAAAAGCAGCAACTGTCAGGAGGATTCCGGCTCCAATTTTCCCTGTCTCTGTGACTGCCATTTTCGAGACATCATCGCAAGATTCGTTTTCAGAACCGGCATGTGCGTTGCTTTATCCACATCTATATGTGTACCTGCATCGGCATGTATATGCTATACCAGAATGTGTATCTACATCTGCACCTCTATTACGTCTATCCACACAACGCCCAGGCTCGGCCTTAGCTACGGCCGCGCAGGTCGTCTGCTGCGGGCAGCGAGAAGGGCGGACTCCTTAGAGGGCATCCTGTGATTCTGGCTTGTTGCTATGTCATTTGTGCAATGCGTGTGACTACCATGGTTTTTACAACTACCAAGCTTTTTTTTCTTGTCATGGCTCTGTGTATGAACACTGCCATTGCCATTGCTACTATTCCTGGTACTGCTCTTCATCCTAGGACAGCAATTGCTTCAAATTGCTTGCGTTGTCGTGGTTGTTGTTGTTGTTCCATGCAGAAACATCGACTAGATGTGATTGTAGCTGTGATTTCTCACGTGAGGGCATGGTGGCGTGCCTCGGCATTCGTCTTACAGATCTTAATGTTGGTATCACATTTAGCATTTTGCCGGTTTGTTGGTTAGGGTGATAGTGCTGCTGGGCATGATGATGACGAGGATGATGAACGTTGCATCGTTGTTTTATCCGCTTAGTGTGGACTTTCTGCACTTGTTCTTGATCAGGTGTGCATGTATGTTGTTGCTAAGCTAATGATGCCAATGTCGGTGAATGCATCGGTAATCCTCGGAACTACCGCCACGACCACTGTGCCAGTTCCAATACATGCTGTATACCTGAGTCGTGTAGGTGATGCATAACACCCTGGAATGCTGCAAACAGGCTGACGGTTGGAGTCCCAAAACAGCCCGACGACGGTGCCAGGCCCCCTGAAAACGGTACGGGCAAGAGGGCAGGACAAAAGGGAACGACGCTTCGGCCCCCCGGGGAGGGGGGCCGGGGGAACAAGAAGTTTGAGCATGTCATGACGGGATATGACGGGGGTCTCTATTCCCAAGACACCAAAAGGTACAGAGCCACAGCTTCACGATGAGAGACATGGTTCGTGCTCATGTCATGAGCCACTCTAGCTGGAACAAGTTTTCAGTCCTCCGAATCTAACTCAGAAGAACATCTATGATGGATGCTGTTTGCTCGGGATAAGACTTGTTGCAAAAGTCTGCGCTTGCTCTGGAATACTTACGGCTTGTGAAATGGAGCGTCTACATGGGGTTGGCTCTTTTCTTTGCTGTGATGCCAATGATGAGGGTCTTGAGGGCGCGCGTCTGAAATCGAGCGTATATTGGGGAATGGCTTGCTTCGAAGTGCTGTGATTCTGTGGCTGTTTGTTTTGAGCGCGGGCTTCTGAGATCGAGCGTCTACATTGGGAATGGCTGGTTTTCCTCAAGCTTTCGTGTGCTATGATGCCTATGATGTATGTCTTGAGCGGGTGCTGCTGAAATCGTGCATTCACTGGGGAACAAGGCGAAAGTTCTGACTTCCGGTTCGAGATTTCCTTGCAAAAGGGGCTTCTTCTACATGCTTGGTCATGCTTGAACCCAAGTGGATGTTATGACTTCCCCGAACAAAGTCATAACGCGCGCTTCACTGGGGAAAAGGCTCCGGAGCTGCAATTGTTATGTCTTCAGGGTCCGCCTGTAGCTATACAGGGCAAGAAGGACACTGTAGAAGACACCGATTCTCAGGCCATTCGTGTAACATCATCTTTGCACTGCATTGAGACTATTTGAGACTCTTGACTCTGGACTATGTAGTCTGTATCGGATGCTCCACGGTGACATCTCTGTGGTGCCCGACTGGGACTTCGTCAATCTTTCTCATCTCTGAAGTCTGGCAAACTATAAAAATGCGGGATCAGAGCAATTACTCAGCATAGTTCGAAAACTTGGTGACGCTCTTGCAAAGATCGTTACTATCCGGATTTCTAGGCCTGAAAGCTTCAACTTCCTAAGCCCCTTAAGATGGAAACCCTGGTCTAGAGGCATGGAGATCCCTTTCTTGTGGGACCACCGACGACAACCCTGCCGCTGCGAGCTTATGACCTTTTTCATTATATTATATTATATTATACTAAATTATTATTATATAATAATAATTATTATTATTGCTATTGACTCTCCTGGCCAGTGGCTGTGGCTGTTCCCAGGCCTTCAGCAGGCACGTCAAGCGAGGCAAAAGCCTCGAATGCTGAGGCTGAGGCCGCCTCAGCAAAGCACTCTTGCTGTCAAGCTTGGATTTCAGCTTCTGTCAAGTGATCTTGTTCGGCCCAAGCTTGAGTTCTGAGTTGGCGTACTGTAATGCTTGCGCGCATAAAAACCCCCTACCTGCTAACAGGAGACATGGCAGGTAGACATGGTGATTGAACTTGCAGGCAGCATCCTCTTTCCAGCAAGATTCTGCATAGACCCAGGGGATCCTTCGTGGCCGTGAGCATGTGGCGATCCAGCATTCGACGATTTTCCCGGCTGGGCGCACATGGCACGCACCAAGGTGATGGTCTGAATGAGCCTTGCACCGACCAGGAACAGGGCTTTCTTCCGAGTGACCTTTTCCTGAAGCGACATCCTGCAGGGCATTGCAGTGCAACTGCTTTCTTTTCAGTTGCGGCCGTGCAGAAGCCCCAAGGAAATACATCACACCCCGGCGCTCTTGCGCGGCAGCGTGCCTCTACACCAAGGTGATTAGGGCTTGAAGCTGGTCGGAAAGCCGGTGGGGCATAGTAGTATCATGTTTAACGAGTCCAATGCATGAACGAAACTGGAAAGGATCCAGGCCTCGACACGTTGCAGCCCCACTCTCCTTGCGGTTTGAGGCGCTGCCTACGGTCCGTTGCATATCAAGCTGTGTCCGACTTCTATTGGGACTATTAGGATCGCGGCAAAGCTGTCGAATCAGGTCACTCGCAGAGCGAGGGCGCAAAAAGACTACACATTTGCAGCAAGCTCAGCGCTGCAAAGATGACCTTCCGTGCGCATGGTGGAATCCCCTGAGATTTGGGCGCACGGACTTACGAGTTCGGTTGAAAGCGAAAGCGAAGGCGAGCATTCCGACGATTGAGCGTTGACATGCGTTGACATTTCATTTCCCTCGAATGGGAGTGTCTTTCTGTCAAGGCGGCTGGCCTTTCGGTGGTGTTCCAGAACTTTCAGATGTAATGCCAGTGGCGCCTCGCTGACGGATTCAGTCCCAGCTCGATATAGCAAGGTGATACCCGCTGCCCTGCCCCACAGAGGTTCGCTACGATGCCCGTGGCCATGGTCGATCCGATGCCTCGGAGGCCTGCACCTGGCAGGCACGTTGGGGAGGCTCCAAGGCGGCTAAGGCTGCGAGGCTCCAAGGCTCGGCTTTAAAGAAGCCCTTCTGCGTGCCGCTGCGCTCGCTCGCTTAAGAGCATCATGCAGGCCATGGGCTCGGACTTGCGCACCATGCATGAGACGATGCTACCGGGTCGACCGGTCGTTCTGGGCGGCACGAGCATGGGTTCTGCGGCCAGTTTATACGCAGCCTTGGAGGCAGCATGCGACTGAATATGCTACCTCACCAAGTGGTGCCTTTCGCAGAGCGCCAAAGATGGGAGGCTCCAGAGAAGGTTGCGGCATTGATCATCGCCACACCGCCGACATGCTACGAAACGAGCCCGAGCCTCGCAAAGCTGACTCGTGAGTCAGAGAGATCACATGGTGCAAGGACGAAAGTTTGTCCCGCTTTACGAGCAGAGTCTCCAACTTGCGCAGGGGCAAGGTGCGAAGCATGCTGTAGTAAGATGTTGGCAGCGTTGGCTCGAGACGAGAAGTCTTCGATGCCTAGGTTTGAAAGCAGCCAAGAAGGCTGCTGCGAGCAAGGCATGGTCGGCATGATTCAGAAGCGGCTTCTTGTAGAGCTTGCGACTGATATCTCAGCACTACACCATGAACCATAACATAATTTCAACTGAGCATTCGTCTAGTGAGTCTAGTGTAGCTTTGAAGCTGCATATTCCAGTAATGCCCCCTCACCACGCAGGCGCGCCCACCGATTTTCCTGGAGACGGATGCCGGAAGAGCCACCCAGTGTCAATTCAGTGTGGTCCGAAAGCGCCGTACTCGATGCCAATCCTGCAGGCTTCCTTCGACATCGGTTGGCGAGCTAAGTTTGCAATGGGCCAGCGCCGATACTGCGCGGCCCTCCGTGGTGCTATCGACTCGGACTTGCCGCCGCCATCCGCAATAAAGCGCCCGGATCTCGGACAATATCAGATCTTTCAAGAGGTGTGGCGTGGTTTATGAGACATGCATCCGAGGATTGACGATGCCAGTCCTGGTTCTGGCGTGGAAGTCTGATGCGCAGCATCCGCTGGAATCCGCGGAGTTGCTTTGCGAAGCTTGGTCTGCCAAGCCGTCCTGAGCCACGCGCCATACCGCGTCCATGCTCGGAAGAATTGAAAAGTTGGAGCTGAAGCTGACTGAGGATCTGTTGCCTCAGGCACAGTCGCGGGTGGCTTCGTGCTGGGCAGATGTCGAGAAGTTTCCGGGATACATGCGCCAATTTCTGCAAAGCCTCCCCTAGACAGACGACTGCAGCAGGTGCAAAAGACATTTTGCCGGCCACACGTGAGGGCTCCGACAATTACACGTACCACCGTCTTACTCTTACTGGCCTCGCAGGCTTCTTCGTGACGAGGCACATGCTTATGTGCGGAAGTCTGAGCAGCGATGCTCTGCTAATGTCCTTGGATGAAATCGTTTTGTTATGTCTCAATACAGCAACAGCGAGGAGGAGTTCAACTTGAACTTCAGTGTGTGTGCAAAGTCGCACAATTGTTCTTGGAGCTATGCCGCCACGCAATGGAGGAGTGAGGCCGTAGCCGGTCATGAGCAGGGGGAGGCGAAAACAGCAGTTCCTGCCTGTTGTGGGTGACATCGGGTGATCATGTGCGTGCTGTGCTCCTGTGTATCTTGTGTTTGCAGCTTGCAAGTTCGCGCCAACAATCCTTGGCAGCCATGATGGCTAGAGCCGAGCCAATTCTGGCCCTTTGGACTTTTGATTCTAGCTGTGCCAATGCAGAAAATGTAGCCCCCCTCCAAAAAAACAAACAAATAATAATACTAACTGTCTGGCATTGAGCTTAGGCTCAAGGTCTACTTTGGGTGGTGGGTATTCCTCCGCTGAAGCAGGGTGTTCAATCACAGGCGGGGGGCACACGGGGCCCACAAGGGAATGAACGACTGCGGCGTGTCTCGGCTAGGATGTTTGACTGAGTGACATGGCACTGCGTCGCTGCAGTCTTTGAAAGCCGCCAGGGCACCTGTTGCCTCGAGAGGAAGAGTCAAGGAACTGAACCTGGCAACCAACCATCACGCATGCATCCCGCATGCACCAAAGACTAAGACTAAGGGGATTAAGGGGAAGCGAGTAGCAGGCGCCCGCTGTGGCTTTTGACAGGAAGATGGACTGGGCCCTCTGGGCCACGCACTCCGGTTACGACACGTCTTAAAGTCATCGCCCAAGCTCCCGGATTGTGTAAATGTAGGGCGTAGGGTTCGTCATTGGAACTCCCAAACGGGTGTCGCCCTCAAGATGCCACCCTTTGCCGTGGTCTGAGCTTACCTGACCCGTCTTGTCTTGTCGCAGACAGTCAGGCGGTACCACACTGGTCGGTGCAAGATAAACTGTGTAGGCCATTGACTTCATACCTTACTGCCTGCCTCATAAGAAAATGGACCCAGTGCCGAGATATTGCTATCAAGACCTGTGTTTCTGTTGAGACTGCGGACTCGGAGAGTGCACATGGATAGAAGTGTGGGGTGGCACTGACTGGCATGCGTCCGAAACCCATCGAAGCCCTCTTCTGCCTTGCTTCAAAGTCGATTCGGACGTGTCTGTGTCACGCGCGTTCTTGTTTCCTCCGAGTGTAGAGGTGAGGATCGAGCAGTCTATAGTGGTCCAGGCTGCTGGGTTCGAGCAGAAACCGCATGGCTTCGATCTTCTGCTCCAGGTTTTGCAACTGCGACTATTGCCATAGAATGCAGTACGGCATAAGTACGGCTCACAGGCAGCTTGCTCCACTCGAGACAGCCAAAGAAAGCACATCTGTCCTAAGCGCGCAACTCACGCACACTGCCGAGCCGAAGTACTTGCCAGGGCAGAAGCAAGCAGCCCAGTAGAGAAGCAAAGCCTTGATAGCCTTGCACAGCGGTGAAGCCATGGAGGACATTGGCGGGGTCATGGAGGCGTGAGCTGGTCTAGCCAGAGGATGAGACTTACACAGAGTGTGCACAGGAGGCTCACATCTGCCCACGGAGAGAACACAACTCCTACGCTCCAACAAGGCCGGGCCTCCGGGAGTGGCCGAGTTACAGCTTACGCTTGCGCCCTGTCTTCTGCTTTGCTAGGCCCAACGTTTTGCATTGCTTCGGCGTGGATTTCCTGTCGAACAAAGAGGACGGAGTCTCGGGGGATAACCTTTGGACATGTCACAGGCAAGCACGCCCCTCCACATGATGTTTAATGGACATTGCGAGATCATCATGTCATGTCCTGCTATGTCCTGCCAACACACAGCACAGTCACCAGGTTATGGAGATTTTCGCGGCCTGGCAACCCCAGCAGGCTTCAGCTGCAGGGTGAATTTTGGCGGGGAGTGGGAGCGATGTTGGTGCTGTCTTGGCATGAGGATCCAGTATTCGAGTACTGTCGCAATCCGGAGGTCGAGTGGCTAGACGATTCCTCTTGTAATTTGGTCTTCGAAGCGGAGGACTCTGTCCAGAAGGCTGCATGACATTTCTAAGACTCTGTTCCCTGCAGATGTTCCTTCTCGCGAGGCCAAGCAAGAGCTAGCATTGCCTGGCCAGTCTTCCCCAGATGAAGTTTGGTTGAAGACCAAGCCGATCTCCATTGGCAAACAGAAGGAGATCCCGGCCCGGCATGTGCTAGCTTTCTCATGCTCGGCCTTGGCCACTTGTGGCAGGACGCCAAGAAGGGAAAGGCGGAACCATGGGGAAACTGCCGTTGACGTCGGTTTGTGATGCGGGGAGCTGCGGTTTGCGCAGGCTCGGCGTGGAGGTCTCAAGGAGTTGTGCCCTGCGCTCGGGCTCGGATGCGACCCGACGCCAGCTACAATCTTGTTCTCTGGCCCTCACTGTCCCGAGGCCTGCAGCTTCGAGTGGCAACAGAGGTGGGTTCAGGGTTCTTCAGACTTGTCAATGCGCAGTAAGCTTTTCCCCACGCCTTTGGCTGTCCCAAAAGCTTCAAAGGCTTGGCTTGGCAGTATGTTGCGACATGGAGTACCTTGCAGCAGCTAATGTCTGCATCAGCATTCACTAGCTGTAATTTTGTCCTTCCCTGTCCGTGGTGAGCCGAGGCTCACAAAAATTCCACGCAACCAATTTGCCCTGTCAAAGCCGAGGGGGGCATCCTGTCCTTTTGAGGCAGACCGGAAGGACCCGGGTCACTCCGGGCACACGGACTCCGTGTACTATGCGCATGTGAAGGCTCCGCTGCGTGCGAACACCGGGCCTTCTTTGATGTCTGCAATGTTGCAGGAGCAGCAGGCCTTGGAGAAGCAGGCAACGGAACTGCGGCGCATGAAGAAGCGCCAGAGGCAAATGACGCCAAGACGGAAGGACGGCAAGAAGTTGGGGTGCTGTCTCATGCACGTGCCTGGCATGATGCGAACGGGATCCGATGTCCCGCAACGTCTTCGCATCGCTCCGACGTCTGTCAAGATGTTGACCGCAGGAGCCAGCTCCGCAGTCTGCAGAGAATGCCACTGGCCAAGGCTTCCCAAGTACAACCGCATAACCAGTACCGTGTGCAGCATTGAAAAAGCGTTGGGGAGTGTGACAGGTTCAAGTGCATCTTCGAAGCCGTGCTCCTCAGGGGAGCTGCAGGCGATCTGCCTTCGTCCTTTAAACCCTAAACTGTCCCGGAGAAGTGCCGGGGACTTCTGAGAGGCTGCTCAGAGCTCTCCTGGCGACTCAGAAAGCTTGTCACAGGCGAAGGCTCGGCCCTCTGCCAGCAGCTTTGGACATGTTGTAGCCATATAGCTGCTTGTAGGGTTGTAGGGGTTGCGAGAGGGATAATAAAGGGCAATAAGAGATGAAATAGGGTTTATTGACGACAGGACTGATCTTGTCCTTCGCTTTTTCTGCTTGCCTTCCTGTTATGACCCGTCCGGGTGCATGTTGTGTTTGCATGAGAATGTCAAAAGAATTTGGCAAGCCGCTCGAAGGGGATGAGAAAGAGGAGCAAACTGACCAAGAGCGATCTACAAACCGCTCGAAACTGATTCGTGAAGTTGAGAAAGAGGAACAGACTGCTCGAGAGGGACTAGAGTGACTAGAGTGACTAGAAACTGTAAGAAGGAGCACACCGCAACAAAGGCATTAGGGTCGTTTGAGATTTTAAATCAATCAAGAAACTAGACTTTTGGGGAGAGCAGCACAACGTTCGAAGGAGAGGAGCAGACCTTCGAGAAGGACAGGAGACTGAGGAGGGAGGAGGAGGAGTAGCAGATCTTCCGAAAGGCACGACAGCATCAGAGAGAGGAGGGAATCGGATTCGAGCATTTGCGGACAAGGAGCAAGCCGCTCGAAGCTGAGTTGGAGAAGTTCAAGCAGAGGAGCAAACCGCTGAGAGGCACTGGACAGTGAAAGACGGAGGAGCAGACGGCTCGAAAGGGACTGAGCAAACGGGCAAACCACTTGCAGGGGGTTTGGGATATTCGAGAAGAGCAGACCTCATCCAAAGGGGCAAGAGAAGTTGAGAAAGAGGCGTGCGAACCATTAACGGGGCGAAAAGAAATCGGCTCGAAAGGGATTGGAAAAGTGGGAACCGGAGCACACTAAGCGAAAGGGACGAAGACACAGATTTTGAGAAAGGTGAGCGCGGCCCTCGAAAGGGATTGGAGGGCTTTGGTAATCTGGGAAGCAGTTGCAGAATTCCCGAAATGGGCCACAGACGTTGAAACGAGAATCGGTTCATGAACAAGAAGCGAACAGCTCGACGGGCACTGGAGACTAGAGTCGAGTGCTTGTGACAGGAACAAGCCGCGTTGAAAAGGAGCACACAAGCCGCTCAAAAGGATGTGTGAAGAAACTGTGAAAGAGGAGCACGCCGAGCAAACCGCTCGAAGAAGTATAAAAGTTCGAGCGCTGCTCGAGAAGTTTCAGCAAGAGGAACAATTCCTCTCGAAAAGAATCAAGCAAAGGATAAGACAAACTGGACTGGGGAACAGGCCCTTCAAGAAAAGCACTTGTCTGTCAACGGTTTTGTGCTTTGTCCCGTACTATGTCAAGCAAGCATCGCAGTGTCGATGATTGCTTTAGAAATCCTGCTTGTGGTCTCACATAATTAGCCGTGCTGCCAGGCCACGTCAGAAGGAGCACCTTCTTTCTTGTCTGCACGTAGCGCCCCTACGACTCGTCGAGAGTGCACAGCAGCTGGTTCTGAATTTAGCTGCCATAATTTGCAAGTCTTGTTTGTTGTGGATGTCCTTTGGACAACTGGGGAAAGCCGGAAGATGCCGGAAGCATTGCCCGTTTCGCATTTCAACAGCTCAGGCCTTGAGTCGTACAACCTGCTGGACCCGACAAGCCGCCATGCTTGGAAGATTAGGGATGTTTGCCCGGCGGTGGGGTGGGGAAGGCCTGTTCTACAGCTGTTCCAGACCCTTGAAGAAGGGCTTTGCCATTGATGCAGGCGTAGATGACATGCGACGTGCCAGGCTGCTGTTCATGAAAGCTTCGTCTGTCAACACCGCATCATCTGCGCAGACCGCAACAGGCACTGATTGTTGATTTCGCTCGGATATATGGGTAAAGCCACGGAACGCGTCCTTCGGACAGGTGCAGGAGAGAAACCCACGCAGACTGACAGCATAGCCTTGGACACAGCTGGAGTTTGAATATATGATGTGGTGGGATTACTCACATGCAGCATCTTAAAGTGCGCAATTGAGGTCGCTGCCTTGCACCGTTTTGGCCGTTTCCCGAACTGAGGCATTGAACAAGGATGACGACCTGAAAGCAGCACTGAAGCGGGCGGAGGACCACCTTCCCAATCAAAATCTCTCGTGCATGACCGACAGCACCAAGCAAGTGCTCGTATACTTTCGCAACGCCTTGTTTTTCCGACAAGGCCGAATATGCAGCTGCTGGCTTCTGAGATAGATTGCCCATGCTTCATGGAGCCGGTGCGAGGAGCCACATGCTGGAGACTAGCTGTGTAACTGCGGTTAGGTGTTGCACGCAGCAGCGCCAGCCCACAGTACAGCCTGGAGCACAGCCGAATGTGCCGCAAGACTCTTGTTTTACATGACCGGTGGAGCTGACATGTGAGGTGCACAGGTGTTGTGACCACTCAAATGGAGAGCTTGAACAATTGAATGGAGCAATTCTGACGAAGCTATCCGCAAAGTTCTGCTCAGCACGGTGCGATTGCACTGTCACTGCCATCTCCTCCTCCCCCTCCTCCTGCTCCTCTGCACCTCCTCTTGCTACTACTTCACTACTACTACCACTACCACTACTACTACGACTACGACGACTACGACGACTACTACTACTTCTAC